TAATCATAAGAGTTGTCTATAATGGAGCATATTCCAGGCACTACACTCAGTTCTTTATCATAATTTTCTGACTTAAGTCTCATCCCAGTGCTGTGAGATAGGTATTATTATGTCAATTTACAGAGGAGAAAATTATGGCTTGTAGAGTTATAGTGTTTTGACCAAAGTTGCGGGACTAGGTAATGAGACCTGAGATTTAAACCCCTTTCTGTCTAATTTAAAACTTCTACATGAGGAAGTCCAAGCAGGTATGCTACTGACAGAGATTCAAATGAGTAGATAATCAAAACAGTAACAAAGACTCATTGCCTTCTATAGCATTGTGGCAGGAGACTAGGTTCTGAATTCATAACTAGGGTTGAATCTTGACTCTTCCACTTCCTGTATAACTGGAGAAATTACACAATAGCTCTGGAGATTGGTTTTCCTGTGTGTATTTTGGTAATAATAATACTCATATGATTATTGTGCCTAGTGCAAGGTAAGCACTCAATAAAAGAGCTGATCTAGTTATGATTACTTTCCCCTGTTAAACGTGGGCATGTGTGTATTACAAATCAGAGGGCAGGGGGATTAACTTCAAAGTTATCAACAGAACAAGGAATATTTACTCTGACTTGGGATCCATAGAGAAACACTTAAGTTAGAAACATGGAAAAGATATCAAATGTATTGTCTGATGAATTCAGGTGCACGAGGTCTCTGAAGTCAATATAAATTTGTGGTGGGAAGCTTCCTCTAGGCTATACAGATACAATAATAAAAACAGATCTTGTTCTAGTTCATGACCAAAACCTAAGCACACATACCAGCCAGGCATTTTCTTACAGTGTCACATCACCTCTTAGAAGCAGTATGATAAGTTTGACAGTCCAGGTGATTGGTGACTCAGAGGACCAGCATTCTATTTTCCTGTGCCGAGGTTTCTCATGGCAGTCATATGAGGGGAATATGTTGATCTGACACTGTAGTGATGACCACATTAGACAGAAGAGCTATTATAGATGTATTATCTGTGTGGGGTGGCATGAGAGACCATTAATAGTAGCGGTAGTCGAAGCTATGAAATAAGAGAGTATAATTGCTAAGGAAGACCATGAGTCAATGACTTGTTCTGTCCTGGGAAAGGCACCAACATTTAGAACATAAAAGGAGGAACAGAAGTGAGCAGAATGGCCAGAGAAGAAAAATGGAAACTTCAATGCCTGGGAGCCAAGCAAGAAGGTAATCCACAGTTTCAAATCATACAGAGAAATCAAGATACTTAAGTTCAGCTCCCCACAGAGCAGCATGAAAATGCAGAACTATGGGAATCCTGCATGACCGACTAGGATCCCAGCTCCTTCTCCAACACAAATCAAAACTATACATTGATTCCAGCTCCAGAAATTTTCAATGTATTTACTTAGTTTTTTTTTTCTAATTTTATTTTATTTTATTTTATTTTTTTGTATTTACTTAGTTTAAAAAGGTATGGGGGGGGCACCTGGGTGGTTCAGTTGATTAAGCATCTGCCTTCAGCTCAGGTCATGATCCCAGGGTCCTGGGATGGAGCCCTTCATAGGGCTCCCTGCTCAGCAGGGTGTCTGCTTCTCTCTCTGCCTTTCCCCCCTGTTGGTGCTCACTCTCTCTCTCTCTCTCTCAAATAAATAAATAAAATCTTTTAAAAAAATTGTGTGGGGATGCCTGAGTGGCTCAGTCAGTTGAGCGATGAACTCTTCGTTTTGGCTCAGGTCACAATCTCATGGGTTGTGAGAATGAGTCCTGTATCGGGTTCGCACTCAGTGGGGAGTCTGCTTGAAGATTCTCTCCCTCTGCCCCCCTCCCTACTTTCTCTCTCTCTCAAATAAATAAATAAATCTTTTTTAAAAAAAAGTATTGAATATCTGAATTCCACATGAAATTTTCAGTAACTTAGTCGCTGACAAATGAGTATGCTTAGGTGGATTAGATCTTTATGTAATAAGTCTGGAATGTTTGGTGACATTATCACCTCCATCTGAAAGATATAAACTGATGGGATATTTAACTGTTCATTTTCATCTGATAGATTAGGAAGCATTTCTCAGTAGATGATTTTTTTTTCAAAGTAGATGATTTTGATGCCAAACTGAAATTTATTTGATGTTCAGAATGTGTGTGCTGGTTTTATTTTATATAATGATAATCAATTTCAGTGAATGATGAATCTGCTCTGTTTATCTTTTAGGTTTCATGAAACTTTCACTTCATTCTTTTGATTAAGAAATCATTAATAAATGTTGGCACTATTATCTCTACAGTTTTTACCGTCACCAACATACATTATTTTTGTGGGTTTTGCTGGTGTTATATAATTGGAATGAAGTAATGTTTTAGAAGTCCTGAGGCCTGAGTAGAAAACAAAAAAGTATTATTAACTATCTAATTTACAGACAATAATTTTGAGATATTAGCAGAATATACAGCTATTATACTATGTGGGTTGCTAGTCACATATTTGATATTTTCATTTTAATTTCTTGCCCCTTAAATTGAGATCCTTGTAACATTGGTTGAACGTATTGTTTCTCTTATGTTTTGTAAGACTTTAAAGCATTTGCCTAATATGCAACCTCTTTTTAGTCTAAGTCCATGCTTCCTGTGCAAAGTATAACATTAGAATTTTAAAGTTAATTAATTCCCAATTTCAATTGGAGTAATCTTTGGCAATAACGCAATGAAATTTTCTCCTATTTCTCTTCAGGCAAACATGAGTCTTTCCCAGGTGTAACTGAGGTTTAGAATAACATCTCTTTGTTAGTCTAACAAGGTATCCCTTCAATGGACTACCTGTCCTCCTTTCAAGAAGATGAGATATTGAAACCTGACTTAAAATCACCCTTCTCAGATCCATGTCCTTGACTGCCATTTGTCTAATTAGGTGCTTACTTGATACAAAATTGGCTTTCCTCATTCGTTAAAGGTGTTGAAACTGAAAAGCGTGTTTCTGCCTTTTCTTTTCACAACATCTCAAATTAACTTCCACTAAAACATAAAACAGAAGAGAAGTAGTGATGGTCTCACCTACCTGTTCCAGTGACACTTCTTGTCAAATAAGGAGTGACTTTCAAATTGAGATGAAGTATCTGGCACAGCTAGCTCAGGAACAATTGGTATCACTATCTTGAATCTTCTCATTGCTGCACTTGGTTCTGATAAGGATAATTCAGCTTCAATGTAGAGATAATTGGTAACCTTGCTTCCCATGAAGCCATCAGAGAACCTTGGTTACTTTGATATGATAGACTTCTAACACCTTTTCATCTATTTCTCACAGCAGAAGCATATATAAACCGTACAAACATGTTAAACAGCTAAGCATTGTAAATTGCATCTTTACCAAACTTCTGATGGTGTAGTGTGAAGAGCCTGTGTATTTGGGCTTATTCTTCTCAAAGTACTTTGAAAGTGACTATAATTCACAGGATCCTGTATATATGGTTAATTCCTTAATGAGAGATTAATCAAGTCAGCATTAGATTAATAAAATATGCTACACAATGTTATCATTTTCCTTAACAGGTCTCCATGGGACATGAAACTTTTGATACTGACCTGTAAAACTCAAAAGGTAGACTTATGCAATCAATTATTTAGTGATACTGTGGCTTGGGATTTAGAGAGAAACACTTGAGTTAGCAACATGGAAGAAAATCAAGTGGACTGTTTGATGAACTCAAGAGCCTGAGGATTCTGAAGGCAACCCAAAACTGAGAAGAAAAATTTCACCTACCCTATACAGATGAAAGAAAAACAGGTTTAGTTGTAGTTTGTGACCAAAACTTCAGCAAACATTTTCAGTCAGGCGTTGCTGACAATGTCATACTGGCTCTTGGAAGCCACATGATGAAGTTGGCAGTCCAGTTGACCGGAAGCCCAGAGACCAGCATTCTATACCTTTGCCAGATTTTCTCAAGCAACTCATTTACCCTGTCTTTGCATCAGCTTCTTCTGAAATGGGTCTGAAAGGAAATGCTGTTTCTAAATTATTAATTATTATTAATTATTTGGAACTGTATTCAATGTCATGAGTACAGCTTATTATTTTGTGCTTATCAGTGGATAGTCTTTGAGACAGGACTAAAATATTTTACAAATGAGAAAACCAAAACCCAGAGAAATCAAGTGATTTGCTTACTTTAGGGTTTCTTCATCTTGGCATGCCTGACATTTTGAGATGGATAATTCCTTGTCACGGGGGTGGAAGTGTCCTGCACATTGTGGAATGCTAAGCGGCATCTCTGGCCTCTATTTGTTAGATCCCAGTAACAAATGCCCAGTCAGAACTATGAAAAATGTCTCCAGACATTGCCAAATATTCCCTGGGGGGCAAAAGAGGCCCAAATTCAGAACCACTGGCCAAAGTAACACAGAAAGATGGTGGCAGGAGTTAGAAATGGAATCTAGGGGGCGCCTGGGTGGCTCAGATGGTTAAGCGTCTGCCTTCGGCTCAGGTCAGGATCCCAGAGTCCTGGGATCGAGTCCCGCATCGGGCTCCCTGCCCCTTGGGAGCCTGCTTCTCTCTCTCTCTCTCTCTCTCTCTCTCTCTCTGGCTCTCATGAATAAATAAATAAAAAATCTAAAAAAAAAAAAAAAAAAGAAAAAGAAATGGAATCTAGGCCTCCTGACCCCTACTCTGCTGTTATTCAGCTGCACTGCCTTTCACATGAATTGGTACTTAGAGTGAAAATAGATATCAGGTTAGTTCCCCTTGCCTTGCCAAGAGATGACCTTCTCTGGAGTTGTTACGTTCCGCACTAGCATAATGAAAACATGTAAATAGAAAAACGCCAAGTTGACATATGTGAGTGATCTACTGAAAGGAGACCTTGATTATTTACAATTTTTAAAGTATAAAGTGTGTGTCTCATTAATGATGAACATATTCAGCGGTGTATATCTGACAAAATTCGGCATCTGACAAACAGCAAACACTCATTTTAGTATGCAGAAGTCAAATCCAATAACCACTTCATGAATTTTTTTTTTTTTTGAAATTACAAAGCTACTTTTAATACTTTGGGGTGAGCCCCACAGGAATAAAAAACACTGGGAAGGGGTGACCCCCTCACCCCCAGGCGTGGCCCAGGGGAAGAGAGGCTACCTGAGGGGAAGGAAGCACAAAAGGGACCCGCTGCAGACTCAGGGCAAAGGGAATGCCATCGGTGCTGGGACCTGTGAGCACTACAGGAGAAAACGCGAGCGTGGTGGGACTGGCTCCAGGCACACAGGCGAAGGCCAAGCGGGTTGGACACGAAGCCACAAAGCTACTTGGGTTCCTCCTTCTCGTTTGCCTTTTTCTGCTTCTGCTGCATGATCTCCGAGTCCCTCTGCTTGCGGGCGGCAGCAGAAAGCCCGTCATCTCGGCGCTTTCCCTTAACCGAGTCGCTCTGCTTTTTCATATTCTTCTGGCGGGCGGGCTCGCGCTGGTTACCGCGGGTCATGGCGACGGCAGCGCGTCATGGCAACGGCAGCGGCTCCGGCCTGCCTCCGTTGCGTCCCTTCGTTCTCTCCGACGTTGCAGGCCCCGCCCCCTTCTCCAAGCGTCACCACTTTTTTTTTTTTAGAACTATTTGGTTCTTTTTAATCAGCTATTGATGGTATAATAAATTAAATTTAAGTGGCACCTAATTTAAACATTTAAAATAGTTCACTGAAGGATGATCTACAACACAGTATGTTAAGCCTAATTGTCAAAATGACACCTCTTTTTTTGCAAGAAAGAAAAACTAAAGGCATGATCAAAATTATGACCGACAATTTGGGTTCATTTGGACCCTTATATAGATGATAGTGATATAGTGATAAATTTCATCTATATTAATAGTTGAATAGCTTTATCAAACATACAACTATTCTAATGGTATAAAAACAAGTTTGACAGAGGACCTATAATATCCAGGGGATGAGACTATGACACCATATAGGCCAATTTTAAATAGGGCGGTCAGGGAAAACATTACTGAGAAATTGGCATTTGAACAAGATTTAAAGGAGGCAAGAGAATATGTCATTCAGATATCTGGAGAAATAGCATTCTTAGGCATAGGGAAGGGCAAATGCAGTAGCCACAAAAGAGAGAGAAGTTTCTGAAATGTTTCGATAACATCTGGGACCCCAGTGTTTCTGAAACACAGTAAGTGAGTTGTGGGAGAGAGAATAAATAGATTATGTAAGGCCTTATAGACATGGTAAGGGCTTTGGTTTTTCTGAGTGAGATGAAAGGACACTAGAAGGTCTTATGTGGAGGAATGTTATGATCCACTTAATTTTAGAAAGATTACTCCAGCTGCTGTGTTTAGAATATACTATAAAGAATAAGAATCGAAAGAGGGTCAGTAGTGAGGATGCTACCAGAATAATTCAGATGAAAAAGAGTGGCAGCTTGCTTTAGTATAGAATTAGTGGAAGAAGTGCAGGAAATGATTAAATTGTGGGTATTCTGAAGGTATATGAAATATATTTTTCCTAATAGGTTGGATGTGGGATGTGAGAGAGTTGATGATAGCTCCAAGTCTGGGGCCTGAGAAGTGTGAAAGATGGTGCTGAGATGGGGAAAGCTGTGTGAAAGACAGACTTGGGGGAAAGACAAAGACCATGGTTTGCCATTATCTGTCCAAGAGCATATATAAGTTTTGACTTGAGAGGAGAGGTCCTGGATGGAGATAGGTAGAGATATGTATTTTGGAGTCATCGGTGTATAGTTACATTTAAAACTGCAACACTAGACAGGATCAGTAAATAAGTAATAGAACATTCAAGAAATGAGCGCTGAGGTACTCCCACCCTTGGAAATTTGGTAAGATGAGGAGGAATTGGCTAAGAAGACTGAAGAGAAATGACCATTTCTAGTTCCTTCCAAGAAGTTGGCTGAATGTAGACCTCAGTTTCTTGCCATGTGGGCATCTCCATGGGGCAGCTCACAACTTGGCAGCAGGCTTTGCTAAAGCTAGCAAGAGAAAGAATCTGCTAGCAAGATGGAAGTTATAATCTTATATAACATAACCATGGAAGTGACATCCTATCAACTTTGCCGTACTCTATTGGCTAAAAGCAAGCCACAAATTCCACCCACACTCAAGGGAAGCGGATTACATAAAGACATGGATATCAAGAGGTGGGATCAGTGGGGGCCATCTTAGGGTCTGCCACAACCATTATCACCTTTAAAAAACTCAGAAATCATTATTTTGAGATAGCCATGAAAAGAATGCTAGAATAGCATGGTGTCATGGGAGCAAAGTGAAGACCCTGTGAAAGGAGAGATGACCAACCATGTCAGATGCTGCTGGTAGGGCAAATAAGATGAGGAGTGCCACAATGATTGGATTTAAATACATGAAGGTTATTTGTGACATTGACTACTCCAGTTTTGGTGTAATGGTGGGGTTGATTCTGACTGGAATGGACTCAAGAGAGTATGGGAGGAGAGGAATTGGAGGTCTCAAGTGCAGTCAAGTCTTTTGAAGAACTCTGGCGTTAAGAGGACCAGAGAAGAAGGGTGATAGCTACAACAGCTTGTAGGGTCAGAAGTGTTTTAAGATAGTAGGAGAAATTATAGCATGTTTGTATGCTGCTGGGAAAAATCCAACAGAGAAGGAAATGAGAATGATTCTGGAAAGGGGGGATAATTGAAAGAGTGATGTTATTTTCTTTTTAACTTAAAGAAATAACATACTTTATTTGAAAAATTCCAAGTATGCTTCAAATGCAAACTGACCGTTTAGTAAGCGCCCAGAGTTCCAATCATTGTACAGAACATTAAAACACTTGTTTGTACTCTTTTAGAGCAAAATTGCCTATTCTGTTGCACTCATTTTTGCATGGCATTGACATTTTAGTTCCAGTGTCATATAATGACCAGTTCTTCAAGACTTGCTCAGGAAACAAGTTTCTGATCCATAGACGTGGATCATGTCAACTGTTACACTTAATGTCCCCTCCCTCCGAAACCACCACCACCTCTTCCTCCTCCGAAGCCTCCACTTCCGCCTCGTCTTCCGCCTCTGTCACCTCCTCCCCTCCCCCCTCCTTGGCCTCCCCTGCCCCCATCTCTTGGAGGTCCCTTCTCACCTGGAGGTCGGGGGGTAAAAACCTCTGCGGTGGTAGCAGTTTATTCAGGTCTGCATAGAACTTCTGCAGGTTTTTTTTTTTTTTTAAAGGAAGATGCCTTCATATTTTCTGACAACTTCACGGAAAAATAAAAACCTCTAAGTTGCCCAAATATTTCATGAACTCTACCAAGTCGTTCTTTGTTCTCTACATAAACTGGAGCATTGAAATAAGGCACCTTCTTTTCGTCTGTAGTACATTTATAAACTGTGTTGTCTTCACAGGGATGCGGGAACTCTCCTAATAAAACGACATGTTCCAGAGGTCCTCGGTCTTGGCCTTTGTTAAAGCCTCCATGGCCACGAAAGGGTGATGCTATTTTCTAAGTTAGGGTCTTGGGGAAAAGTAGAGGAGATAACTTTAGAGCAGAGCGTGGACAATGTGCCAATATTGACAGGAAGAAAGGCCTAGTGTATGTGTATATTTATGGGAAGGGACATGATATATATTGTGATAGCTTGTAAAGTTCTTTTCTGAACTTCTTTATCTATCTGTCTGTCTCTCTCTCCCCTCCTTATTTTCCCCCAGGCAATGTTATCAGCTGAAAGTGAAGGTGGAGAAGAAATTGTTGGATATCTGAAACGGAAGGATAATGCAGAAAATAGGTTTCTATGACAGTGAGGGAAGGAGTGAATTACAGAAATGTACTACAATTGCCTAGCAGCATTCAGAGCCTTGCCTAACCTTAAGAGGTTTAGAATGGCAATCTTTCTGGGTTTCCAGAAGTAGAGGAAGACCAGTTATATTGATGTCTATCATATGGATGGACTGTGGAATTTAAGCTAGGTAGAAATGAGTGAAAAGTTACTAAGGGTAATGAGCCTTGGTGGGGAGAGGATAATTGGAGTTGGGGTACTGGCAGAAATGAACTGCAAATATAGAACATAGTAGACAGAATGAGATGTTTGAAACTGAAACTATGGAGTGGTTACATCTTTGGTCCTGACAGGGTCTAGCATATACCCATGGGAGTAGGGGGATAAGATAAGGTGAAAAAAAGAACATTTGGGAAGAGGAAGTCAAATGAAATTTCAGGGTGTTTGAAGAATTACCCATGTGAATAATGAAATTACCATGAATTATGGCTGGGGTAGTATCAGAGAGTGACAGTGAGCTAAGAGATAAAATCTCCAGAAAAGGCTGGATGGAGGGCTTGGCCATTTTCCAGGTCATTACAAAGACAGGGTGTTGACCACTCCCTGTTGTAACCGTTTATAGATATTTGAAGCAAGGAGATTTTGGGGAGGGAAGAAGGAGAATATAATTAAAACATCTTATAGATAGTTTGGTGGGGGGGGACTTGGCCATTTTCAAGGTCATTACAAACAGAATGTCGACTGTTAATTCGGTATCATCATCGTCCTCCAAATACCCGAAGCCATTAAGGCTGATTTTAATCACTTACCAAATTGTAACCATTTGCTCAGTTAATCAATTAATTGTTTAGTAGTCACCTGTGACTGACCTGGAAGTGGATCATTAAGTGTGGAGATTTTCCTCAAAGTGGAAATATAAAAATGAAACCTGGAATCCTTATGTTAGCTGAAGAATTTGACAATCCAAGGGAAAGTGATTCAATGAAGATCATAGTGCTAATAAGTAACAGAGCCAACAATAGAGTAAAGCTGACTTAACGTGGACAGATCGAGCCACAAAGCAAAATAAAACAAAATAAAAGTGACAAGGGCAGCAATAACAACAAACAAAAAAGAAAACAGGATGGTCTGTTAAATTTGGATCTCACACAAACAATACATTTTTTTGTTTTTTGGTAGTAGTATGTCTCAAATATCGCCACAAAACATTCTTGTACTTGTTGGCAATGCTGTCCTCAGGAAGTCAGTTCACTGGTTGTCTCTGCCTCTGTCCCTGTTGCTACAGAGCCTCATTGTATAAGTTATATGGTGTGTGCGTGTGTGTGTGTGTGTGTGTGTGTGTGTATTGGGGCAGGGTCATAAGAAACAATGGTTTGTATTTTCTTTGTGCTTAAGCATAATACCTTTAGGAGTATTTTAGGAGAGTTGAAGGCAATTATAACTAAAAGTCAGAGAAGCCAAACAGATGTGACCGGTAAAGTATTTGTTTAAAGGCTGCATCATCACACCAAGTATGCATCTTTCTCATAAGGACTGCTTCTTGATTCTCTTTCTGATAGTCTAACAATTCAGGAATAGTTGTGATTTCTGGGGAGAGGAGAAATTTTGTTGCAAGGTCGGGCAAGTATACTCCTCTTTACCATTTTCCTTGCCATGGTTTTTTGTACTGATTTAGAATCATGTTATTAGCCCAAAGAGATACTATTTATAAACAAGGACAATAAATGTGCACTAACCAACATACGTTTTCTACGAAACCTTTTTCCAAAACCATTGCCTGATCTCTTTCGGTGACAGAACCTTTGGTTCCAC